CGTTGAGCCGCCGCCGCCGCCGCCGCCGCCGCCGCCGCGCGGAAGCGGCGGCTCCATCTCCTTTTTAATTACAAATGGGTGGAGACATGGCGAGGGGCGAGAATGGAAAACCGCAGAACACAACCGCCCTGCGCCCGCCATCGCTGTGCGACCGCACCGCCCCTGGGAGGGGACGGCCGGTGCCGGCGACCCCTGGCCCCTAGGCCGCCCTCTGGGGCACAGGGAGGCTGCGGAGAGACCCTGGGCAGGCCGGGGGCTCGGCCTCCTCGTGCTGTGGACGCGCGGGGAGAGCCCCAGGTCCCTAGAGAGGGCTGCATCGTCCCTCTGGAGGGGGGGGTCTGGGGGTGCTCTGAGTGCATGTGCATGTGGGCAGCCAAGAAGACTCCTGCACTCACCCCTGGTAACCACCAGGTCCCCGAGGATTCATTCCACGCTGGTGTGCCTGGCACCTGCGAAGCCAAGGCCTGTCATTCCAGGTCTCCACAGTTCCTTCCGCAGCCACCTGGGTAGGGATTGCCTAATCTTCGTCCTGAGAAGGGCCTGGGACTCCCTTCTCTGGCACAGCACAGTCAGAAGGGAGGTCGGCAGGTAGCGGCCGACGCTGTGCGGCCATGTCCCTCTGGATGTGTGGACGGCTGCTGCTGCCGCCGCTCTATCCCGGCCACCGGACAGGTGTTGTGTGGGCCGGCCCCCAAATGTGTCCACTTCCGGGCTCTGGGCAGCCCCTCTTTGCTGCCGGCCCTCTGGCCGCGTGGTGGATGGGTTCTGCCAGCTCTCGCACCTGCCAGGCGAGGGCTTTCCCGCAGGTCTCAACCTCTGTCTCTGTGTCCCCCTCCAGTGGCTTCTCCTCGGTGGTGGCTCTGGGCGCAAGCATCATCTGTAACAAGATCCCGGGCCTCGCTCCCAGACAGCGGGCGATCTGCCAGAGCCGGCCCGACGCCATCATCGTCATCGGAGAAGGCTCACAAATGGGCCTCGAGGAGTGTCAGTTTCAGTTCCGCAATGGCCGCTGGAACTGCTCGGCGCTGGGGGAGCGCACCGTCTTCGGGAAGGAGCTCAAAGTGGGTACGTGCTCGCCCAGACTCTCCACGTAGGGTCTCCAGGGCTACAGGGAGAACAGAAGGACTCAGGGACCCTTAGAGCCCCCTCACCTGCCCGTGCTGGCTGCTTCCGGGGTCCCCTGGTGAGGGCCAGCGCTCTGGCGGGTAGCCCTAGCACCTTGAGGGTTGATGGGCAAAGCTACAAACTGGCCACCAGTGGCCTGAGCGCCCACCCACTGTCTGAGGTAACACGATGTTTCACACCGAAGCCCAAACGTAAAGATGAGCTCTTCTGCCAAAACTACGTATGGAGTGCCGGCTGCTTTCGGAATCATTGGCAGATATGCTGATGGCTGAGTGTATGTCACATGGTTGTAATGGCTGGCGCTGAGAACGCAGCTCCTGACTGCTATCTAGCTCGAGCAATCCCACGACGAGGCCCGCCCAGTCCCTGTGAGCGTCCGCCTTGGAGACCCTTAGCTCCTTTCCTGTGTGGTGGCTCCTCCCAGTGTGCGGGTCCCCGCAAGGCCCCTGGCTGGAAGGTCGGTCCTGCGGGCGTTCTGTCAGCTAGTGTTTCCAGTCCCAGCCAGCCCGGGACTCAGCGGGTGCTCCGGGGTCACCTCGGGAAGGCCAGCACGGGTCGGCGCCGTCACCAGATCCGCAGGTGCTGCGTCGGTGTGGCCCAGGCCCCTGCGCAGTGCGAGGTGGGCCGGTGGGCGGCCTCACTCTTTCCCTGCGTGGGCAGAGGGCGGGGGCCGACGGCCTCCACCGAGGCCGCAGCCTCCGGTCTGGAGAGCCGCGTCTGCCGTGACTTGCCGTGACCTGCCCAAATGTCCATGCCTGCCACCCCCACCCAGCTGGCACTCTGGCATTACCTGAAACTTAGGTGCTTTCTTTGCAAGTGAAATGCTACAGATAAGGGAATTTGCGGGGAGCCGCTCACAGTCAGCCAAAGTGCGTGGCGGGGCTGGGCACCAGTGGCTCACACCCAGGCCCAGCTGCCCAGGAGGCTGAGCCCCAGAGGGTCAAAGTTCAAAGCCAGTCTGGGCAGAAGTCTTGTGAGGCTCTATTTCCAATTGGAAGGCGTGGCTCAAGTGATGGAGCACCAACCATGAGAAAGCAATGCAAGAGCACAGGGGCCTGAGTTCAAGGCCCAGTACTGCCACCAAAAAAAGAAGAAAGAGAGAGAGAGAGAAGGAAAAGATCGGCAGGGTCTCGGGACAGGGCTCAGCTCAGGCCAGGGCCAGTGCCCGCCGCGCTGTGTGTGCACCTGCATGGCTGCGGCAGGAGGGAGAGCGGGGACCAGGATGGAGGAGCTCCGCTGTCCGCAGTGTGTGGCACCGGCGGCGTCTTCCAGGGGAGCAGGGCCTGGCCCCGAGGCGCGCCAGCAGGTGAAGGCAGGCGGAGGCAGACGGGGATTCTAGTCAGAAGAGACTGGGATGAGGATGCCTGGTACCCCAGGAGGGAGTGGGGGCCAGGGCCAGGCATGGGGGGCCACCTACCAAGCCTCCGTCATTGGCTCTTGGGGGACGCAGAGCACGGGCATGATGGCCAACGTGTGGGCCGAACCGTGCGAGAGACACAGAAGTGACTGGTGTGCTTCAGCCGAGCCAGCGTTGACAGACCCATGGAAGGGTGGACACAGGATTCACTTGACTCATGCTTTTACCTAACCTGGACTGAGTGCCTGCCGTGGCGGGGAGTGGGGCTCCGTGCGCGTGTGTGATCCGCCGGCTCCCGGTCTGTGAGGGAGCCTCGCACAAGCCTGTGGGCAGGAGCGTGCCAGGCAGAGGCGCGGCAGTGCGGGCGCCCTGGGGCAGCGGTGTGTGAGAAGTCTGAGGAGCCACGGAGCCCGTCTAGCTGGCATCCTGTGGAGAGATGATCAGTTGGCCTGGTGGCACTTGTGAGGCTTGTTTTCCCTTCCGTGTTGGGCAGGGCCCCGGGAGGCCTGACTGCTGGGAGGAGAGTAAATGTCGGGGCGGAGGTGGGACCTGGGGTGGGCCTGGGCGGTTCAGGCAGGGGTGACGGTGGCTGGCGAGAAGCGGCGGAGGTCTACTTCAGAAGGGGATTGCTGGGGTGGAGGGAGGCTGACCAGCGGAGGCCAGCTGCCTACGCCCCCCACATCCCCATCACTCCCCTGTATGACAAGGGTACCCCCGCCCCACACCCCTGCTTACACCCCATTGGTCAGAACTTAGTCGCATGGCCACACCTGGCTTGGGAGGAAGCTGGGAAATGCAGACCTTTCTTTAGAGCAGCAGTGAGACTGGCGGGCAATCTGTGGAGAAGAGGCCGGGGAAGTGGGGTGGGCAGCTAGCCCCAACCGAGTGTTTCCAGTGCTAGGTCCACAGGCTCCCATCCTCTCACCGCCCCTCCCGTCCACTCCATCTGGGGCCCGCCTGCCTCTGTCCTGCAGAGATCTGAGGGCCCAGGGGCCCCGTGGACACAACTGGCTCAGGAAAAAGAGGGAATTACAAACCCCCGGGTGGCTGGGCCGCAGGCTGTGCTGCTCCGAGGCCCGGGGCTCCACCGGGAGCTGCCCTGCAGCCTGCGCAGTGCCAGGCGCGCCCTCGGGTCTCCCGTCCTGTAGGAAGGGCTGGGCTTCTCCGGGCACTGCGCGCCGGTCCCCAGGCTCACTTCCCAGCGGCCCTTTCCCACATTAACCACAGAGGCCGGGGTGGGAGCCGCACCCTGCCCTCCGGGGAGGGACTGCCCCGCGTCTGCTCGCGGTGAAGACCGCTGCGGCCCTGAGCCTCGCGCCTGGCCAGCCTGAGGCTGAGGCCCAGGCGGCGGGGGCCGCTGTCCTGGGCGCCGCGCTCTCCCTGCCCGGCGGGGCTGGCGGGGCTCAGTCCTCGCCGCTCTTTGCTTGGCCTGTGCCCCTCTGGTGTCTCCTCTTTTTAAAGACACTGGTCACCGGTAACTAGGCCCACTTGAGTGACCGGTTTAAGCCCTTCTCCATCCTGCGGTGCCAGGCCGGGTGAGGGCCCCGGCTCGGGCCCCACTGCAAGCGGCCAGGGAGCAGCACGGCCCAGGACCGGGGTGCTGTGGAAAGGCACGGGGTGCTGTGGAAAGGCACAGGGTGCTGTGGAAAGGCACGGGGTGCTGTGGAAAGGCACGGGGTGCTGTGGAAAGGCACGGGGTGCTCAGGTGCGAGCCTGTGGTGGAGACGCGGCTGGATTCTGGCGGCCGCCCGGGAGCTGTGTCTCAGGGGCAGAGGTGAGCTCACTGGCCAGTGAGCACCGTCCCAGCAGAGGGGCCGCAGAGGGCCACCGGCGCGCCGGGGGGTGGGCAGGGTCTGCAGGAGGCAGAGCGGGGACCCTCAGCGACCACAGGTCTTACCTGCGAGATGCTGCCCACTGACTGGGCGCGTGGCGTGGGGAGGGTGTGTGTGTGTGTGGTGTGTGTGTGTGGCATGTGTGTGTGTAGTGTGTGTGTGGTGTGTGTGTGTGGTGTGTGTGGTGTGTGTGTGGTGTGTGTGG